CACACACACACACACACACACACACACACAACACACACACACACACACACACACACACACCACCTAAACCTGGGAAGAGAGAAAGAAGAAAAAAGTTGGTGAAATATGGAAGTGAATGCGGTGCCCTCGCTGTCAAGGCCCTATCTCATAATTACTATTTTCCAGCATTAGCTGGATCTGAAAGCTGCGTGACCTTGAGCAAGTCAATTCCCTTCTCTGGACCTCAGTTTTCTCATTTGTAAAAAAGGGGCACAGGAGTAAATCTCCCTCAGGGACACCTCCTCCCACCCCCAAAAAAATACTCTCCGGTTCTTTAGGGTCTGAGGAATCCTGGCCCAACCCAACTCCCAGGACCTATTGAAGTAGTTTCCCCAAAGTGGGTAGCCCTTGATTTTCCAGTAGGGGCAACCAGGAGTACCCATCTATGCTAGAAAACTCGGACTCAAGATTCTCTGCAAGATTGGAGGACCCAGAAGTTTCTCATTTATGTTCCAGCTGGACAGGATCTGGATCATGCTTCATCTGCAGACCCCAGTCCCCAACACAGCCAGGAGTTGCCTCCCTGCCTGCTACTCGGTTTGGGAGGATCATATCCCCACCGTTAGCAGAACCTTCCTGGGTGGGTGGGTGAGGGGATCAGACTCACTCTTACTAGGGAACAGCCTAAAGAGTTCCCTAGGAACGTTCCACCGCCACGTTCCAGGACAGAGAAGTGGCCACAAGTGTCCCCACAGGACTTCCCACTGGAAGGGAAGTGCCACACTCCCAAGCCACCACCCGAGTGAAGAGCCTCTCATCCTGACCCGCCAATCCGACAACCCCCTCATGACAAATTAGGAAAGGAGGCCAAGAGTGGACACGGGGTTTTGTCCACGGTCGCACGGGTTGCCGAACCGGCTCTAGAACTGAAGTATCTGGTTGCTCTCTCTGTCTTGTTAGTCCCCTAGTCTTGGAAGGAAGCAAAGGCAGGATAGGCCGTGTCGGTGGGACGCTATGCTCAGAAGTCCGCAAGGGAAAACCTTCACGGTAGTGCGAGCAGCGTTTCCCCAGACCCTTTCCTGCCTGCTGGGCTGGGGCTGTCTCCAGCTCCCGTCTGGATTTCCGTCTGCCGGTGCGAACCGCCCGCCCAGTCTCTCCCGCCCTGTCCCGTCCAGATCCATCCGCAAACATGTGCTCAGCCGGTAGGAATGCGCCAATGGCTCCCAGATGTGGACGCTGACGCTTAACCCCTTCCCCTCCATCCCAGCCCCCTCCCCCAGGGCCTTCCAGCTTAAGCCCCATCCACCACAGGGGCCTCCACTCAAGTAAGGATCCAGCCTGCCAGGGGGGTTAGAGCCAGCCCATTTCCAGCCTCTACAAGCTTCTCCCAGCCAGCCTAGTTCCTACCAGCTAAGACCAGAGGGGAAGGTTCATAGACTGAAAAATGCAAGTGGGTATGCACAGTTACACTGCCTCCAACATGTACGACCTTCACATACACCTGCCAGCATAAGGATTCAGGTACATTCGTGCACGCAGAGATTCAGACATCTTCATACAAATGCATACCTACCTGCACATTCAGAGAACAAATGTATACACCCTCAAAACACATGTATGCACATCCAGCAAGAACAAGCATATGCAGACATGTGTGCACACACAAGGGCATGAAGCAGAGGGTGGGGCATGCTTCTGAATCGACACAGCAGTAAGCCCATGTGCAAATGAGGAAAGAAATTCATGCACACACAAACCCACCCCCACAGAGGATCAGACACTCATAAGACTGTGCCCATAGGTACAAACACATAGCCAGCACACCTTTGGGGTATTCCCTCCCCAGGGCACCCAGTACCACCTGTCCGAGGATCCAGTCTTACCCAAAATTGACTCCTGGAAGCAGAAGAAGTTGGGGGAGAAGGAATTTCCAATCCCCAGTAGCAGCTGAACTCCAGCTGTGCTGGACTCCAGCTGTGCTGAACTCGAGCTTCCAGCCCCTCCCACCAAGGACCCTGATAATGGAGAAGAGTGCTCAGGAAGTGGCAGCAGAAGACCAGCAGAGGGAGAAGAGCCACCAGGCAAGAGGTACCTTACTCTTTAGGAAAGACACTCCTCCAGGAGGCCTATACCCTTCCCCTGCATACAGGAGATAGGCTGGCAGAGCATCTGAGCCCTGGTTTCGTGAAACTAGAATCCCTTTTCAGATGACAGGAAGCCAGAGAGAGCTTGGATAGGTAGGACATCCAGTGACAGGTCCCAGTAGTCAAAGGAGATACAAAATAGCCCTAGGAGAGCCCACACTTCTCTTCTCATAGCCTGTGGGAATGCCTCTTTAGGCATTTTATTAAGTGGAATCTAAAGAGAGAATGGGAAACAGTTGTCTCTCCAAGACCACCTGGATGCAGGTGGGGTAGGAGACTTCTACTGAAACCAGCCCCATATGACCCTTTTTTCCCCTTGCCTCCCAGATTATTTTAAAAAGGTGTTCCTCTCACAGTTACCTTCAAGGCCCCATCTCATCTGACTCAGTCCTGAGGGGGCAAGGCTCTTGTTTCCATTGTATAGATGAAGAAACAGGCTCAAGGGCTGAGGCTGTGGCTCGGTTGTAGAGCGCTTGCCTAGCATGTGTGAGGCACTGGGTTCAATTCTTAGTGTGTATATATATATATATAAAATCTCAAAAAGTAAGTTACCTTTCCAAGTTCATATAGATATATAGAGCTGGGATTCAAACCCCAGTTCTTTCCCCAATGCCCCCTGTGCCCAACCCTGACATCATTTACGCCAAATCAAACATTCCACATCATTCTGTAGCCTGCAGCTTCTTCCTTTAACCTCTCAACAGAGCACATGGGAGAAACACCATTCTTGCCTAACTTTGCAGGTTTATGGGTGGGGCCAGATCATGCCAGGAGAGATCAGAGAAAGCACTAGGGACTACACATATAACCCTCTACCTCCTCCCCAAGCATGGTGCCCACCTGCCTAGCAGGCATGGCTGGGTGACTCAGCCGCATCCGGGGGAGATGCCAGGGCAGTGACTCACCTACCGAGAAGAGCAGAGTCTGGCCCTTTGCCAGCCCCAGGACAGAAGCGACTTAGTCACCACAGGGACTGCACTGCCCTACAGGCACGGTCCAGGGATCAGGGACAGGGGCAGGCTGTGCCCTTCCATGGTTACATGCGCCCCCTGGTGAAGGTAGGCTTCAGCATCCTGGAGTGAGCTGAGGCTGTGCCTGTCCCTGCCCCCTCACTACTATCTACCCCCATCACACAGGGCCCTGCTCCAGTGCTGACAAGTTCTGTGAGACCCCTGGGCTGCTCTGCCCTCCTGCAGCCTGCCCCCTGCCCATCACTCACCACCCACTCTCCTACTTGCCCCACCTCCTCCTGCCACCCAAGTTGTACCCAGGCTGAGTCTCCTTTAACATGTCCTGGCAGCACCCCTGCCCCCACAGCCCCTCTCACCCCCCCACATACATACACATGCACTTGCATATACTTCTGCCAGCCTTGCTTCTGCCAACAGCTGCTGAAGTTGTTGAGAGGGAGGGAAATCAGGAGGGTGGGGTACAGGGATTGAGTTACTAGAGCTAATGGGGTGGGCTGTCACCCAATCCCTTCTCCAGCTAGTACCCCCACCATCTCCCTCACCCACCTGCCTCCCTCCCTACCTCTGGCTGGCAGCCTACTGCCCTTTGAGCTTCTCCACCCCCACTCCACCCAAACTAGGAAATAAATGTTCAAGAGTATTTGTCATGCTAAGACCAGCCCAGCATATGAAAGAGAATGAAAGAGACAGAGATGGACATAAAGAGTAATTCCTGTGCTCAGTGCTCTGTCTCCACACTAGGTGTGTGTATCTATGTATATGTATGGAAGGGGACTGAGTAACTTCAAGAGTCCCAGTGGAGTTGGTGGGGCCCAAGGGGAGTTGACAAGCTGAACAGCCTCAATCCATTTGCACTATTGATTTCTCACACACTGCAGCAGGACTGATGGGAGGGGCATGATAAATCAGCACCCCCACACACAGAGAAACTGAGTGGAGCTGGGGGAGGGGTCCCTGCACCATAATTTGTGACCTACTGGGAGCTGCTTGGTGGGGAGGGGTGTATGGCAGAGGAACCAGAGAAGTTGAGAGGCAGGAGATAGGATGGGGGAGAGGGTGTTGGATTAAGGGCTGTCTGTAACACCTCCTCCCAGCTGAATCTGAAGCTGTTTTGAAGAAAGAAGGTGGGGAGATAGATGTACCATGCTTGGTTACACAGACAGGGCCCTGGACAACTCCAGGGAGCACATAGGCTTCCTGTGCAACTGTATGACATGGTGGCCCTTGGGGAGACAGAACATAAACTGAATTCCGAAGGACCACAATTCCCCACCAAATTTCTCCCCCTATCCCCCTAACTCTCAAATACCCACTCCTGCCTCCAGGCTTCAGAGGAGGGCTCCCTTCAAATTAGTGATCAAGAACTGGGGATATAGCTCAATTGGTAGAGTGCTTGCCTCACATGCACAAAGCCCTGGGTTCAATCCCCAGCACCACCAAAAAAAGAAAAAGAAAGAAAGAAAACAGACTAGTGATCAAAAGCCTGTGCTAATCTCTCCACTCCTCAGACCTGCTCCCTTCCTTTGTTGAGGGGAGTGGCAAACCAGGACCATGACCCACAGGGCTGTTAGAGGGAGGCGCTGGCCTTGGCTGGAGGGAACTCACAAAGAGCTCTGGAGAGTTTAGAGACTTGTGTCCCATGTTTTCCATCTATCACTAACTCATCCTGCAACTGTGGGCAAATCCCTGACCCTCTCTAGCTCTCTAAAATGGAGCAGCTGGAAGGGATGTCCCTTTTGTAAGGTGTCTCTAAGCCCCACAGCTCGCCAGCCTGTGAGTGTGT